AAAAAAAAAAAAAAAAAAAAAAAAAAAAGACACTACACACCATGCCATTGAGAGAAAAAGGATTAAGGAAAATTAGATAGCTCCCAAAGTTTGAAAGACAAAAAGCAAATGAAATGAAGACATACCTGTTCGTTGAAGAAAGGCTGAATACCTGCTGCAACATCTGTGTTTGTAGACATAACTGCGAAACCCTTCAATTTTGGGCAGCCCGATACAATCAATTTATTCAAGGATGAGAACTCAATGGTAGAGTCTCCAAAGTAGAAGCTAACAAGGTTTTGGAGTTGCCGTAACTGTAGAAATTTCAACTCAGGGAAAATCAAATTCCCCTTTTCTTCTTCATTCTCTTTAGAAAGAACCTTTATCATCATCTTGCATTCACTTATTTCAAGGCGTCCAAGCTTCACTAGACTTCTAGCCATAGTGGATGAGAATAGGTATTTCAAGTTCTGGCAGCCCCGAATTATCAATTTCGTCAGGTACTCAACACGGTAAGATGCTATCCATATCATGTCAACATTAATCTGTGACAATTGCAGCTCCTCTAGGTTTGGAAGCAGAAACTGCACAACATATAATTCCCTTTCTGAGCAAAGCTTATAATTTTTTGATATATAATAAAAAATAAAAATGTGAAAAATTTTAATTTTTATGGATGGTTTGAATACAAGAACTGTTTGAGAAAAAAAAAAAATAAAAGATGCTTCCTATTTAATTCTTTTACTAAGAAAAGCTTCTCATTTAATTTCTTAATATATAAGACAAAAAAAAAAAAGGAGGAAAAGAAAAAAAAAATATATAAGTTCTACAAATTAAAGATTTTGAGAATGATTTAAGTAGTATAACTGTTAATATAAAATTACTAGCCAACTTAAAAAAAGAATATAATTTGAATATAATTGAATTATGAAGTTGAGTAATACAAAAGATATATATGGTTAATATTTGTCAAGAAATTATTAAAACACTTACTTAAATTAAGAACCTATTTTTTAATTTTTATTTCGACATAAAGACCCAATAGCACTTGTTTGTAGTTGAATTTACAATAATGCATGTTTCTCCAAGTTAAGAGTACTAGTTTCTACTTTCTACTTTCCATTACCACTTCAAAGTAGCAAGTGTGGGAGAGGTGGCGTGACTTTGTAAATGGAACAATAGATGGGGATCCACATGGCAGTGGGACATGGATCTAGACCACCTCTCCTACATTTTTCTCTACGGCCAAACGAAGATTGCAGTACATTTTCCTAATTTTTTAAGCTTATTGTCAAGGAATTGTAACTGTTAGTTTTTTGTTTTAATTTTTAAAATTAATAATTAAAAATTATTAATT